TTCCTTCCTTCCTTCCTTCCTTCCTTCCTTTATAAAATGCCGAATACATAGGAGGATTAAGAAAAAGGATGGTTTTTGAATAATTTCTTCATTGAGAAATAAGCGATTAAAATAATTTCACATTCTCCTCAAAATAGCTTTCCCTCCTGAGCCTACTTCAAAGCCTTTGCTTCTTTCTGACTCCAGTGTTCTCTGCATTTTATGATCTTCCACCTTTAGTCTGATTGGCTGACTCTTCAGGAGAGGGCAGAGATGTACCCTCTCTGTAGGTCTCTCTGAGACCAAGATATGGGATCTTCCTAGTCTATGGTAGGAACAATAGAAGCCATTGGAAAAATATCTTTGTTGTTTTTTTTACTTTGTTGCTGCTCCTGGGAATTTTGATGTAGTATGAGACCATCTACTGGCACCTGATCTACCTTTTGCTGTTCATTCCTGAAACGAAGGTGCTGGAGTATGTTGGTGGAGAGTTGGACTGGAAGATAACTTTTGCCTTCTAGGAGGTGTACAATCATCAAGTTGCTGATTTTTCCTTTTACTCATTTTACATAAGCTTGCCCTGTCCGAAGAGGCTGTATTTGAAGTTCTTATGAAAGATTTGATTGGGTAAACTTACAGTTGCTTTCAGATTGTGTATTAATTTAACAATTTTTTTCACTGTATCTCTATTTTTATCTCTCACTCTTCCACACTTAAATTGATCTTATTGTAAAACATATGCATTTTTCTTTCTACCTGGCAATGCTGAACGTTGGCCCAATGCAGTTTTACATCCTAAAGTTAAATATCACTCTCGTTTAGTTAAGTTATAATTATCTGTTAAATTGCTATTTAATGTTATTTTAATTCTTACTTTGATTTCAAAAGGGATTTGAAACTCTCTACATGTGAAATTATGAAACTTTTGGTATTGTATATTTGTGTGGCTAATTTGTTTATCCTTCTAATTTATTTTTATTTAGGATTGGAGTTAAAGAAACCAAATGATTGACCACCTACTTTTATTTTCAGTTATTTATTTGTATATTAATTAGAATGCAGGCATAGAAAACTTGATTCAAACAGGCTTAAAAATAAAGGAATTTATTATTAAAATGAAACTTGAAGGCTAAGGTAGGGCTGGCTTGAAAACTGATTTAGTCTGTCAACTGTGGCTCCATTTCTCATATTTGCCATCTTCTTTGTGTTTGTCTTCAAGCTGACTTCCATCATGGTGGCCAACTGGCTCTAGAAGGCCCAGGCTTTTTGTTCTCAAACCGGGGGCATCTCTTCTGGTAGCTTTCTTACAAGAGCAAGATGTATTATTCTTGGAACCCCCCTAAACCCTTCTTTTGTGTCTCACTGCCCTAATTAAGTCATAAATTTTACACTTAACCCAAATCCAGGGGGATGCCTTGAGTTTAGACCCCAGTTTCTGAATCATCATTGTAGCAAGGGGAATGGGATTACTTTTAGATCAGTTGAGTTTACCATGGGAGCTGGAAATGGAGGCAGCTTCCTTGAAGCACATGGACTTCATAGGTAACTGGTCATTAGCTGAATTAAATTTATAGTACTGGACAAAGAGTGCAGGGTGGAATGGATGC